GTCGCGGAGAACCTAACGGGTAACCGGGGCTCCGGCTCGACGTGCAGGAGAAGGAACGGGGTGGTTTTTAGTCAGTAAGAGTCTGACACTCCCTCCCGCCTCACCCAGGCGGGAGCAGTCATTCGATGATTTTCCCCCTTAAAAAAAAAAACCTATTGTCCATAGCTGTACATCTTTTCTTTCTGATCGAACATAACATAACATCACGCCTTTTAACCACGAAGGGGTAGGCAAAGGTGTACATTATGCCACTGTATAATGTAACACCCACTTTTCACTATTAATGTTATGAGTCCCATGTAATAGGTAGTGAGCCTATTGTATTGATCTATTTCTATTGTAGGTATATCAGTATCTTCATTGTATTAAATTTGCAAACGACCCTGCACACACTATAGATGCATTAAAGTGACTTAATTTAATTTGTATAACTTATAAGCGTAGTGATTTCTAAAGTAGATAATTGGAATTATGTCGTGGATGTTACCCCAATTAAAAAATCTCCGCCGCCCGACCAGAACCAGACCCGAGCGTACAACGCGTTGCGTTCCGCGCGCGCCTCAAAGAGCCATCAGACTACCACGGATGGGGCTCAATAGGGCTGATGCCGACGCGGAGCCGCGGAGAACCTAACGGGTGACCGGGGCTTCGGCTCGAAGTGCAGGAGTAGAAACGGTGTGGTTTTTAGTCAGTAAGAGACTGAGACTCCCTCCTGCCTCACCCAGGCGGGAGAAGTCATTCGATGATGTTCCCCCCTTAAAAAAATCAAAATATCTCAACGCCTAGTTAGGTACCTATTCACTCTTGCTCTCAATCATTAAATTACCTATTTTGTAACAAAAATATTATATTAGGTACAGCTGTTTACGTAAATAATTATAACTATAAGATAATAGAAGTTCATGGATTTATTTGCTGCACTGCGGAATTCTAAAAGCAAAGTCAAGTTTCGATAAGACTAATAAACTGCCTCTGAATTGATGATAATCATGCTCTGGATGCTTGCACTGATAAAATAATCCGTAACTAATATCTGCAATAACATGCGTAGATATTGATGGTGTGCACGCGAAATGAAATACAAATGCTTCTTTCATCTATATTCACGTTGAATAAGAATGGTTTTTAATTAATTTGAAAGAAACAATAACATTATTAGATGGTCACCTCCCATAATTTGAAATCAAGTGCAGGTTACCCTTGATTCCATTGAATTTCATTTTCCTTCCTTTATCTATTCTACTCCATTTTTATGTGCCGGTTAACGAACATCACCTAATGGTAAGCATTCTGCGACGCCCATGGACATTTGGAACACCACAGGTATTACAAGTGCGTTATCGGCATTTTAGGGGTTTGGAAATTAAGGATTGTTTGGGACCCAGGGATTGGGGTGATTGGATATGGGGGAGGCTGGGTTAATTGGGCCACCGATAATCTCATTTACACGATGAACCACAACGCGATCGTTATTTCACGTCGGTTTTCTGTGAGGCCGTGGTATCACTTTGGTCGAATCGGCCCATTCGTGCCAAAACATGGCTCACCGACACTTACAATTTAAGTTACAAGTAAAAATTTAATTTAAGATTATTATCTTTTTGATCAATTGTAATTATAGCCAAACATACTGAACCAAAGCATTTCTGGTTGTCAATATTGTTATTTTTTGGGTGTACCAGTGTTACTAGTCGCAAACTATGATTTTCACTGACAGGAGTTAATGTATGCGGAAAATGTTGCAAATAGATAATCCTATTTGTTTGAGTACGAGTCTATCAGTAAACAGTCGCACAATGAAAACTTATAATAGTCTTACAAAATAAAATATTTACAGACAACATACAATTGGGGCCAGGGTAAGAAATTTAAAAATCTAATTAGTCCGTCAGTTAGATAATGAAAAAATGTTAGACACGTATTTTTTTTTATTTTTTTGTATACCTACAATACTTAGATAAAATGGCGTTAAGTTAAGGAGTGGGAGGTCGTTACGTCACAACGTGCTGTAAAATGTAGCACGCTGTGACGTCACACGATATTTCAAATTAATATAACGTCGAAAGTATTGATGTTAGTGAGAAAATAAAAAATATGTGTCTAATGTTTTAAAATAATCTACCAGATGGACATTAAAATAAAATTTAGGAAACTATAGTATTTGTAAAAGACAATGATGTAAGTTATATTTTGATTATAACTATACTGAGTAGTCTACTACTGAGTAGACAGCGCGACCGCAGACTGCTAATGAGGAAGAGTGCCTCTGTGACTCGAAGTACCAAGAGCTTTTCCTAGTACTTATTTTTATTTAATTCGTGACGTAAGTTGAAACGTAGATGTTCAATAAACTATTGTACTTCCCTGTAATAATTTACATGGGTATTGGTTTTTCACCTAGATTATATACCTAAAACAAAACAACGCGATAACAACAAGTTATTTAGCTACCGTATCGTACTCGATTACTTTATCGTATTTTATTGTTTATAATGTTTATTATTCACAATATATCGATAAAAACTGTTTGGTTTATACCGCCACTGTGCGGGCTGTAAAACGATAAATGTTTAAATGATTGACAACTGCTGATTATCAAACTACTTGCTTGCTATAACTGTAAGTGTGGGAGAGCCATGCTTCAACACGAATGGGCCGGCTCGACCGGAGTGAGACCTGGAGCCCCAACAATCCTCCAATTCATAGTCCCCAAACGGGCGGTATACCCTCTGGTTTTCCAGGTGTCCATAGGCGATCATAGGCATAGGTGATCCGTATGCTCGTTTACCGGCTCGTCTCATAAAAAAGTGTACAAAGTAGATGTCCTTTATACACTTTCACACATTCTTACTACTAAAAGAATATCTAATGAAGGTCGTAACATAGTGGACACTTAGGGAATTCGGTTACACATTATTTCCTATGTCTAACGCCACAGATACCCATGGTTAAAAGTTTAAAATTAAGAAGTTACATTTTAAGTCGCTTTACTTTAATACAGTGTGTAAATGAAACGTTCCCGAAGAACGCTGACAGGTTAAAGAACAAATCTATTTACCTACATAAAAGTAAAGAATTACGTGTTCCTTTTATGTAATACTAGCGATCCGCCCCGACTTCGCACGGGCGCAATATATATGTATTATACGTATAAACCTGCCTTAAGAATCACTCTATCTATCAAAAAACCGCATCAAAATTCGTTGCGTAGTTTTAAAGATCTAAGTATACCTACATAGGGACAGACAGACGGCGGATAGGGACTTTGTTTTATGCTATGTAGTGAATAGTTGTAATCAACTGCTCAATTCTGATGTTGCATATAAATAACATGAAAACAAAAACGATTGAACTTTTTAAATTAGGTAATTTGTTTTTTTAGCATTCTGGGAGCGTTGTTTACAGCCTGTATAATGTAGTTTTATTTCAAACCAATGATTTTCGAATTCTTATATTGTTCAAATAGATTATGTATGGGTTATATTATTGTGTACCGTAAAATGGGGTGAATAGGGATCGAGAGGTGAATAGCGACAGAAGAGGGACCCGAATGTAAGGAAATTGTTCATAGTATCGATTCTCCCTCTTCTGTCATTTTTCGCCGCTCAAACCCCATTCACCCCATTTTACCGTTATGTAAATAAAAACTGGTGTCGTGGTGGCCCGGAGGTTGAAGACGCCTGCTTCTCATGCACGAGGATGTGGGTTCGAAACTTACCAACGGCAAGTACCAATTTGACTTTTTCCGAATTATATGTACCTACTTTCTAAGATTATTTAGCCACTATTGACCAATGGTGAAGGAAAACATCGTGAGCAAGCGTGGTGATTAATGCTCTAACCTGCTCCATGTGAGAAGAGGCTTTGCTCAGCAGGGGGACATTTATAAGCTGTTGATAAAATAAATTAGGCTTAGTCTATAAAAATGTTATAGCTTGATAATAATTTTTATCTTTACTTTAGCTCTCTTATTGGTACTTGGATGACCGTGATTTAAACAGTGTTTGTTTTAGTATATACAAGAAAAAATATAGAAAAATAATGCGCAAAAAACAAGAAATAGTAAACAGAAAAAATAAAAAAAAAACATTCGGCTCGAAGTTTGAACTCGAAATTTTGCTAAACGCCATCTTACCTAAAGTGTGTGAATTAAGACTGTTGTACGAAGTGCTTTTATCAGCTTATAATCAGTTTGCTTTGTTTTTGCTAGATGGCGCTTTTCGCAATTATAAAGCATATGTTCAGCACCGCACGTCTTGTGGCTAAGATGATGATAATGACTAAAGCATTAGTTTACTAAATAATATCTACCTACATATGTTGCTATTTTTTTTTTCTTTTCCTTTATAAATAACTATGAAAAAGTACTTATAATGTGAGTCTGTGCATAATCCTCGAGGTAACACGAATTAACTAGAAATCTCTCGACTTAAAATAATATAATAGTTTCGTATTTTATACTCATTTCTTAAATGAATTATCTTGCTCAAAATAACAGTCAACATTATAGTGGTAGCTTTATCATTATAATCAATTTAATTATTAATACAACAGCCCAGTTTTCTATAAAAGTATATTTAAATCTCCCATAACTTAAATCGTGTAAGACAAAACACATAGGCATTTACTTTGATCTTCTTCATCCGTTGATCAAAACATTCCTTAGACAGCAGCATCAATAATCCAGTTAGTATATGAGGCCACACGGGTGCTGACAGCGGGTAAGGAGTTGGAGCCACAACCTTCAGCCCAAGACAAGATACCAACGAGGATGTCATCATAGTACAAAGGACCTCCAAAGTCACCCGGGCAGGCGTCTCCGGCATTGAGGTCCAAAAGACTGGAACAGATCATGTTGTCAGTAACCTCTCGAGGAATGGACAGAGCTCCATACTCTTCTTGACAGACTTCTGTGTCCAGAATTTCAACACTAGACTCCATAAGTTGGGATGAAGCTAAGCCTCCGACCTGTAAATAGAAAATTAAGAATAAACGTGGTTTCTTTATTCAGCTGGATCTAATGCTGATCCAAATCTCGTTGAGTAAAGGAATAAAAATTGATGTAAGTGTTTTAGTCCAATCTGGGGTCTGGATCCAAGTGTGGGAGAGCCATGCTTAGGCACGAATTGGCCCACTTGACCGGAGTAATACCATGGCCTCACATAAAACCGACGTGAAACGTGTGTTTTGTCGTGTGAATGAGGTTACTGGAGGCCTAATTACCCCCTCCCCCTCCCCAGTCTCCCCAATCCCCGAATGCCCCACTAACTTCAATTCTTAAAAGTCGGTAACACACTTGTAACGCCTCTGGTGTTTCAGGTGTCCATGGGCGGCGCCGATTGCTTACCATCAGGTGATCCGTCTGTTCGTTTACCGGCTTATCCCATCAAAAAATCTCTAGATTATTTCTATTATTACAATGTATCTAACAAACACGAAAAACAATACATTCAGAGAAATATAACAAAACAATAAACCCAACGTTACCTCAGTAGCGCCCCAACCAGCAAGTGTAACAGGCAGGCGGTAAGGAAGGACAAATCCATGAATAATAATGGGACCTTGTTGCACAACTGGACTGTACACCAAAGAGGTCAGGAGGCGGACGACGGAGATGTCACCATCCATGTCATTGGCACCATATGTTGGGTGGTTGATCTCTACATCTACGTAGGCAAGGATGCCACCGGTGTTGCGTTCTGAAGAGCCAGCCCGGATCCGCCGGTTTTTGGGGTCGTAGAAACTGGAAGTAGGAAAGTTACATTGAGGGATTATTAGTTACAAAGACTAAAAGAAGGGTTAGTTTGTTCCAAATGTCGCTTGACCAATCTGACAATGGTGATTTCGTTGCTCGTTACCCACCAATATTTTACGGTAGTCTAACCAACTACATTATAAAGGATACAGTTGGATTATCTTGCATGTTATTTAGAAAGAATTCCACCCACACGTACGAAGCGCTTCGCATCAAGCTTGTGCGTACTGCTAAGGAGTGGAATTCTTTGCCAGAGTCTGTATTTCCTGAAGGGTATAAGGTCCTGGGTGGCTACAAGGCCCGAGTGAATAGTTTGCTTATGGGAATACGTGTTCCATCGCTTACGACTAGGCAAGATAGTGATCAAATATATAAAAAAAGTATTTATTTTTGGACCAAGTTTTTATATCTGAAACTGTTGTTAGTCCAAGTGAAAGCAGTTTTCCTTTATCACCACCTCAAATAGTTAGTTTTAAGTTGTTGACTTAAATCATTCTCAGTAAATATAAACATTATTACTCAATAACTCACATTCCATGGAAGCAGTGAGCAGCAGACAACACATAGCGAGCGGTCAGAATGTGTCCTCCGCAAGATTGCGACCAGATACCGGAGGCTGTGCCCAAAAATTCCACTTGCACGATAGAGGGATACTTCTCAACCGATGCCTCTGTGCCTCCCGAGATACGTGAGGCCGGTGAAGAAGAGGCAATGCCTGAAAATGAAATCAGTTCTCAAGGTTATAACAAAATAAGTGACATGAATAAGTACTTCCAAGAGAAACTTTACGTTTAGCTGAATCTGATCACTCAGTACTATTCAGAACTCAGTTTTCCCGTTGCTTCATCATCCCTTTCAACGCCACTTGAAATGGTACTTAATCAAACCAATGATATTACTCGTTCATCTATATCATCACTTATTTCATCGTTTAAGCTTAACTTATGACTATTTGGTACATCAATTTTTTGAGCCTATGTTGATCTTGGATGAGACTTCATGAGACCTATGTTCTAAGAATTTAACTATAAACTACTACAATTTAAAAAAGTTATCATAATTACCTGCAAACAGAAGGAGGGCCAGAACGGTTAGCGTTGCCATGTCGAAGTCTACTGTGACAATATAACTTTCCACCTACAATTTTATAACTTGATAACTCTATTATAAAAATATAAAGATTATTCAAATCCATAGTCAATAAGACACTGTAAAACTACTGATTAGAGATAATTTAATTTTTATTTACCTAGATTCTGGAAATTTTGTAATATTGTATAATACCTTTGGTGTGGGTCTATGCACTTTTAATGTCGCGATAGATTAACTATCAACATAATTTATTCTAAACTCTTAAGGATCAGTCAATAAGCTAATAATTTTTTTTTGAACTTACATTGCTTGGTCTTAATGATTGTCATTAGGACAGGTAGATTAATATTTCAAAACGGTATTCAACTGTATTTTTTAAGGGAGGAAAATCATCGAATGGCTTCTCCCGCTTCGGTGAATCAAAAAACCACCCCGTTCCTACTTCTGCACTTCGCACACAGCCGGAGCCCCGGTAACCTTTTACGTTCGGACATGGAAGTTTCGGGAGGTACCTGTGTCTGATGGGGCGGGAGGAAACGCCCGGGTGTCATCACTGCGAGGACCGCCCTGAGGACACGGTGGAACACACAGTGGGAGAATGCCCTGCGTGGGCTGAGCACCGCCGTGCCCTCAGGGAAGTGATCGGCGATGGCGACCTTTCGCGTCCGGGCCTAGTGCAGGCCATGATGCGGAGCGAGGGGGATTGGGATGCCGTCTCCTCCTTTTGCGAAGCAGTCATGCTAGCTAAGGAGGAGGCGGGACGCGTGAGGCAGCGAAGCGCTGCCTCCTCGCAACCCAGCCATCGGGAAGGACACACCGGGCATCGGGGATCGCGAGACGATCTCCGGCCACCGTAAGCGCGGGCCTGCGGACGGCGAGCATGGGTGGCTCCCCGTCCGACCAGAAACAGACTCGAGCGTACGGCGCGTCGCGTTCCGCGCGCACCTCAAAGAGCCATCAGATCACCACAGATGGGGCCCAATAGGGCCGATGCCGATTCGGAGTCGCGGAGAACCTAACGGGTAACCGGGGCTCCGGCTCGACGTGCAGGAGAAGGAACGGGGTGGTTTTTAGTCAGTAAAAGTCTGACACTCCCTTCCGCCTCACCCAGGCGGGAGCAGTCATTTGATGATTTTCCCCCCTTAAAAAAAAAAACCTTTTACGTTCTCCGCGGCTCCGGATCGGCATCAGCCCTGTTGGGCCCCATCCGTGGTGGTCTAATGGCTCTTTGAGGCGCGACCCGCGCGGGACGCGACGCGCCGTACGTTGTATTCAAGTGTTATGACTGTGGGAGAATGTGAAAGGAAACGTACGAGGAACCAGTGGATGCGAGTTCCGAGTTGTCGTTCAACCTGGAGGACTAAAGGACAGTTTTGTTCAGCGTAGGATATCTCCGACTGATGATGATGATAAAACGAAACTGGAGAAGAAAATTTGAATAACGATATATTTCCATTTATTATCTTTATATGTAGCTTCGAATACTAATTGTTTCTTGTAACATATCACTTCGTTATCGCTGATAACTACTACTCCTCAAGCGATAACTTTACAATCAATTATTTATTTCATAAAATTGCAGTGAAACTTAAGAATTCTACGACTAACGACAAGGTGTGGGAAACCAAAAATAAATAGCATGGACAAGTTTCACATATTCATACACAGTTTAATTTAGTAATATCTTACATTTATTGATTTATATACAACACATAACATAACAAAATTTTACATTAACACACATTAGATACAAATAAATAAAATGAAATTACGTGGGCGCTTTTACTTTTATTTAGCTAACAGCAGCCGCGATCCAATCAGTGTAGGAGCTCACGGCAGTGCTGACTCCTGGATAAGTGGCGTTAGCACATTCATGACCCCAAGATACAACACCGACGAGGATGTCTGAGAAGTAGAGAGGACCACCAGAGTCACCCTGGCAAGCGTCCTTGCCTCCGACGTCAAGAATACCAGCGCAGATCATGTTCTCAGTAACAATTCCTGGTCTGGGCAGAGTCAGGTAGCGAGCAGCACACAGCTCATTATTGATGGTGAGGATAGTGGTCTCCAGGAGTACGGGAGACAAATCACCTCCGTACTAAAAACAAAAAATATACTCTGTATAAATCATCCGCCAGCTACCATGAAGGTTAGGTTTAGTAGAATTACTTTATATTTTTTAATTATATAACGGCATGAATAAACTCCTTAACTGGTTAGAATTTGATAATAGGCGTAAAAATTCAAGTAAAAAAAGCTAAACTTACTTCGATCCTACCCCATCCAGCGTGGACAACAGGCATGTTGTCAGGGATCTTGTATCCTTGAGCGACAATAGTTGCTTGTTGCACAACGGGGCTGTATACTAAGGGAGTGCTCAGACGAATTACTGAGATGTCGCCATCAGCACCGTTCAAGCCGTAGCTGGGGTGGTTAAATTCTGTCTCCACGTAAGACACAATACCACCAGTGTTACGGTAGGAAGTGCCAGCCCTGATGCGACGGTAGCTTGGCCTGTACAAGCTGAAATAGAAAAAACTGATTTTAAATCTCCGGTCGTTTAGTTAGATTACTATTTTTAGTGTCTTAACTTATTTAAAGATGAATACACTGTTCTAAAAGATAAGTTAAAGATATAAGAAAACAAAATTTTGAAAACATTTCTTACAATTAATTCAACAATTTTTATAGAATCAATATTTTAAATAGTGAAGTACAAAATTAGGACACTGAAATGAAAACTTGGTGAACGTCTAATTCATAAATTGGGGCCAAACGATTATTTCCTCGAAACAATTTAGATGCAAATACTCACAGGCCACGGAAACAGTGTGCAGCAGACAGAACATATCTCGTGGTCAAAATATTGGCAGCACAGGACTGAGACCAGGTCCTAGTAATGACGCCGAAAAATTCAACACCGACGATAGAGGGGAACTTCTCAATAGAAGTCTTAGTTCCACCCACGATACGTGAAGACTGGGGTGCCGAGAAGGCCACACCTGGAATAAAAACAGATTTTTCGTCGTAACTTCGATTAAGTTGACAACTAGTTCTCGTTCTTATGGAAGAAGTTTCTAGCTTGCAATGCTTTGGGTTTAAAATTATATTGATTGCAATAGGCATGTTAGTAGTCTAATGACTTGTTATTAAGTTATAATTACCTGCAAAGAGGGCGACAGTCAGGAGAGCTAGTACTTTCATGTTCGCGTTTGAATCACAGACTGTCTCAAACCCAACCCTGACGTATTTTTATATTAGACCCATCAGAATTCCCCATAAGTTTGATTAAGATTAACTAATCTGAATTTTGCCTACTCTATGAAATATAATAAATAATAATCACGATAAAGTTCACTACGACGCCATCATATTGTCATTACGAATTTCCCCAGAGATAAGTATTCTGATTCCTTAAGGGTTTTTACTTTTAATTAATGATCATTGTTAAAGAAGACTTCGGAGCTACAATATTGGTAAATTGTTGCAAAATCTCATTTACTTTTTTATCGTACTTATTTTTCTATTCTTCTTTATACTGTGTTTGAACGGTTGGTGTATCATCCTGCTGACTGTTGTGCATTATGTAGCGGCTGGTTCCTGTATCATGGAAGTGGTGGTCGTAAGTTTTTTTTTAATTAAAATGATCATGTGTTTCTAACTTCAGGTAATTCTAGGGTGTATGACGTATATCGGAAATCACTTTAAGTAGTTAATCGGTCTCGGTTATCATTATTTATAGATAATTAGACGTATCTACTAGTTAGATTCCTTCGATTTCCTAATGTAGGTTCCTATGTATTTATTCTTAAATATTTGTTTGACGACGTTCAATATGGCTTTATCTATTTTTGTGTAGGTATTGGTAGAATTGAATTGAGAGAAGGTTCGCAAACGAGACGAAACAAACTGTTCCTTACAGTAGGGAATCATCATCAGTCTAAGCTAGCGCCAAAATCTAACATTGATTCGATTACCCGAAAAAGTAAAATTTGAAGTATGGTATAATTCTATGGGGTTTTTGTAGACACCGTGTGTGGCAGTTATTACAATCAGCCAAATCAAAATACAATCCAGCACCTCAAAACGAATTAGAAAAACCTAAGGAGAAACATGTCGTAGTGACCCGGAGGTTTAAGACGCCCGCTTCTTATGCAGGCGAGTGCGGGTGAAAAACCTGCCAACAGCAAGTACCAATGTGACTTTTTTCCCAGTTATATGTAGTTTTTAAGATTACTTAGACACCGCTGACATACGGTGAAGGAAAACACTGTGACGAAACCTGCGCTTATAATTTCTTATCACAAGTTTGAAACCGCCAAACTGCATTGAGGAAGCGTGGCGATTAATGCTCAATCCTTATCCATGTGAAAAAAGGCTTGGCTCAGCTGTGGGTATTTATAGGCTATTGATGATGATGATGACTGAGAAACAATGTTACATTCATTACTTTATTTTTATTATTTATAGTTACTTGTGGAAGATATTGTCCACATTAACATTATCTCCTATACATAAAGTCGGTTACCATAGTCTCGCCGCTTTTGCGCAACCTAGCGCAGGGCACGTCATTATAACGACGGTGAGTCCCGTCATGGAGACGTAGATCGGCAGAGGGCATGGTGTCCTAAACTTTCGGTTGACGCAGGTGCTTACCAGACATGGCTGCTATGGAAAGTACTTGTGTCGCATAGGCCGAGAGCTGAAATCGGCGTGTCATCGCTGTTATTGTGATTTGGAGGACACGGCGCGGTATACGCACGAAGAGTGTACTGCATGAGCAGAGCTGCGTCGTGAGCTCGTTGCAGTACTAGTGCGGCGAGGTGTACTAGTCGAGGCCTTTTTTTAAGGGATAAGGCCGCCATAAACTCCCAATACCGCTGCAACTCCGGTAAGCCAGGATCTACAGTAGATACAACCATGAAAACACCGGAACACACTGAAGTCCGGCGCGTCCCAGGGACATGAGTAACTGTTCAGCCCCCCCCCCCTCCCCGTCATCGTCCGTACAACGTGGGAAGTCCATGAGGATTTCCATCGCTATAGAAAAAAAGTCCCTACGCTTAGCAGGACATTAAAATCGCAATTTGAAATATTCTGCATAGATGTAACATTTTCAATAACTCGTATTTCTCAGTGACTAATAATTATAATATCATAATTATTCGTCCAGTACATTTAAGAATTTCATACATAACATCACGCCTTTTATCCCCGAAGGGGTAGGCAGAGGTGTACATTATGCCACTGTACAATGTAACACCCAATTTTCACTATTTATGTTATGAGTCCCATGTAATAGGGGGTGAGCCTATTGCCATATAGCGGGCACAATTCCAGACTCCGTGCTACTACTGGGAATTTTTGAAAAACCCAGTAATACTTTGCCCGACCCGGGAATCGAACCCGAGACCCCTTGCCTGGCAGTCGCACTTGCGACCACTCGGACAATGAGGCAGTCAGAATTTAAGAATTTCATCCTTATAAAATTGTGCTTTTGAACAATGGCTCTGTTACCAAAGCTTCAAGATAGTCTTTAACAGCAAATACATTATGAGGTATTTTTTTTTTAAGGGGGGAAAACCATCGAATGACTGCTCCCGCCTGGGTGAGGCGGAAGGGAGTGTCAGACTCTTACGGACTAAAAACCACCCCGTTCCTTCTCCTGCACGTCAAGTCGGAGCCCCGGTTACCCGTTAGGTTCTCCGCGACATATTATGAGGTCTACTCGAAACTGAACTTAACATAAAAACAACGAACTTACATTAAAAAGAATACAGAAAACTATTCCATACAGTAGTGTTTTATTTCCGTCAGTTACTGTAACTGCAATTTTGACCGTTGTAACTGTTACACAAATTCAGAAACAGGTACACAAATTCATTCACTTTTTCCAATTTTCCATCACCTATTATTCTGTTATCACCTCATTTCTTTCTATCATCAACACTTTTGTCTTGTTCACATTTACTTTCATACCTTTCCTTTCAAATGTATCATTAATTGATTCCAATGCACCAGTACTGCATCACTAATTGATGTTTTACTTATGTAATTTATACTTAACTTTTGCTTTTTGAGCATTGAATGAATGAATTTACATCATTTTCATAAGAGCCTCTACTCGATAGTCCTGGTAAACGTACTAAATCAAAAACTCGTACAGCGCGTAGGAAAACAAAAAATACCATGGAATATTATATTTTGTAACATTTAATTTAATGAGTAAAAGAGTAGTTTTGAATTTAGCTGACAGAAGCCGCGATCCAGTCAGTGTAGGAGCTCACAGCAGTGCTGACTCCAGGGAAAGTATCGTTAGCACATTGATGACCCCAAGATACAACACCGACAAGAATGCCTGAGAAGTAGAGAGGACCACCAGAGTCACCCTGGCAGGCGTCCTTGCCACCGACGTCAAGAATACCAGCGCAGATCATGTTCTCAGTAACAGTTCCTGGTCTGGGCAGAGTCAGGTAGCGAGCAGCACACAGCTCATTGTTGATGGTGAAGATAGTGGTCTCCAAGAGTACGGGAGACAAAGCACCTCCGTACTAAAAACAAAAATATACTATGAATTAAACATCCACCAAATACGATTAAGGTTAATTATATTTTTAATTATAAAACGGCGTGAATGAACTCCTTAATTGGTTAGAATTTGGCAATAGACGTAAAAATTCAAATACAAAAAAGCTAAACTTACTTCGATCCTACCCCATCCAGCGTGGACAACAGGCAAGTTGTCAGGGATCTTGTATCCTTGGGCGACAATAGTTGCTTGTTGCACAACGGGGCTGTATACTAAGGGAGTGCTCAGACGAATTACTGAAATGTCACCATCATAACCGTTTAAGCCATAGGAAGGGTGATTGAACTCAACCTCCACGTACGCCACGATACCACCGGTGTTGCGATAGGAAGAACCTGCCCTGATGCGACGGTAGCTGGGGTTGTAGAGGCTGAAAATTAAAGTTTAGTCTGATTTAAAACATACTTACTTTAGTTTTATTATTGCATCTACGTAGGTTTCAATCTTACACAAAGATAAAACTTTAGAAACGTAGATAAGTATTTTTCTTAAATTTGTCATCAGTTGAAAAAAAATTCTCAGGAATACAACTGGTCAGATACCAAAAATATGTAAAGTATTCTGGAAAATGATACTCACATTCCAGTGAAACAGTGTGCAGCGGACAGAACGTATCGCGTGGTCAAAATATTGGCACCACAAGACTGAGACCAGGACGCAAAAAATGCACTGTAGTTTTCAACCGCAACGATGGAGGGGAACTTCTCGATGGAAGTCTCAGTTCCACCCACGATACGGGAAGACTGTGGGGCGGCGAAGACAGCACCTGGAAATAAAATGTAAAAGGTCTGAATATAACAATTTTGCATGCTTCCATGTGTTTATGGTTCCAAATATTTGCTGTTATGTAGCATCAGAAAGATTGATTTCCCTTAAATTTTTCATTAAAGGGTGTAAACATTTGATTTTCACAAAGTGTCATAACTTTAATAATACATTTATTTAGACGTGAATAAGTTATTATAATTACCTGCAAAGAGGGCGATAGTCAGGAGAGCCAGCACTGTCATGTTTGTGTTTGGATCGAAGACTGCCCCAAATTCAACCTTGAAGAATTTTTATATTACATCCACCAAAATTCCCCACAAATGTGATTAAGATTAACTAATCTGGTTCCTTGACTAAACTATGGAATACAATAAATAATAATGATAATATACACTGAGACAGTGTCAGATTATAATTACAAATTTTCCCAGAGATAATTCATTGTTCTATAGGGATTTACTTCCACTTTTAAGTAATCAGTGGTAACGAGAACTTCGGAGGTGCAATACTGGTAAAATTGAAATGTTTGAAAATCATTTGGTGTTTGCATTGACTTGATTGTTTTTTATTCTTGTTCGAACTGTGTGTGAATAGATGGCGAACGGTTGCTGTGCGTCTTATCGCGGTCGATTCCCATGTCATATCCATTAGGATAACTGAAATTAGAAAAGGCATTAGATATTTTTAATTTAAGTTACCGTTATTTTGCAACGTCAAAAAATTTGGCAGTGTGTATCTTATTCTGGAAAGCACTTTAACGTGTGATGTACCGAAACAGCGCTTCACTCGAAAAATAATATGTTTTTTATATCTCATGCACCAGTCGAATGGTTAAACATTTGCTTGGTTCCGACATAAATTCCTTATTTCTT